GACGCATTAGGAGTAATCCATTTCGACCATCCTCACGTCTAGCTAATGTAGGAAAACAAAAGCTTAGCTTCCCCAATGAAAATATTTTCCTCAAAAACAAGGAAAATAATTTTCATGGAAAAAATTTGGCAATCAAACATGCGAAAGGTTAGAATTTGAGTGGCAAAAGGCAATTTCGACAGAAAATTCTCCAATCAAATGCACCCTAAATATTAGAAAAAGAACTGTGAATCTTAAAGTACTGAGATTTGAGTTGGGGATCAGTGTATGCTATTTGTGGAACAAATTTTCGGGGTATGTTTGAAATCAGATGTATTCAGAATGTTAAGAGCGTTGGCTTTTCACTATTTTCTGCAGGTACCAATTCCTCCCAGTAACATTTATCCCATCAATGACAAGCTGTCACCAGAGGGCGCGGCAAAGGATTATGAAGTACGTCTCAAGCATTTGGTCGAGAGCAAAATTATACCTTTATCTAATGCTTCTGGATTCCCCAAATTTGATCTTATGCTTCTTGGAATGGGGCCAGATGGACACGTTGCTTCTTTATTTCCTAACCGTCTGCAACGTTATGAGAAGAAGCGGTGGGTTACATTCATTACCGACTCTCCCAAACCTCCTCCACCGAGGATCACTTTCACGTTTCCCGTGATCAACTCATCTTCAGATATCGCAATGGTGGTCACCGGAGCTGAACTGGCCGATACTGTCAATATTGCATTGGGTGATGGACTTCCTCCTGATTCAATTCCCCTGCCTAGCATGGAAGTTTCACCTGAAGGAGAACTGAAATGGTTCCTGGACAAGGATGCTGCTTCTAAACTTAAGTAGAATAACTCAGTGCTATGTTTGTGTCGTGTTTCATTATCCTCTAATAATCTCGTGTCTTTCTTTATCGGATGAATAATAATCTCTGTTTGAGACCGCCTCAATAATGCTTATATAGTTCTTGTGTCCCTTCTTATTTGACATCTGGTTCCTTTAATAACAGTGAACGTAAGATCGACCCTTGCTTGCCATGGCAAGTTCCGCTCTCCAACCTGTTTCGGATTCTTAGTACTCTCACTTGGAGATAGACAATTATGAGAAATGTTACATGTACAAATTTTATGTAGGAAACACAGCTGTCTCACAAGGATTGACTGCTGCCAAAAGGAGTTTTTGGCAACAGCAAATCACAGGGAGACATTTGGTAAAAAAAAAAAAAAAAATCTGTACCTGTAGAATAATTATTGTAGACTGCCTCATAATTTGACTTGTTTGACTGGTTGACCATTCTAATTAAAGGCATGTTTGTGGAAGAATATGCGATTTCTTACTTCTGTTAAAATGGATATCTGGCCGTTACATGTGGCGTTTGTGTGGGCGTTTGATCTGTGATTTTCTTTGGCCCATATAAATAGGGCTTGACCTATTTCTTCACACGGTTTTTATATTGAGACGTTTCAATTTTCTTCAATTTTTAGTCTAGGGTTTTCTCTCTGTAATTGTTCTTTGATTCCAAACTCTTTTTGTTGTAATTCTTGAGTGAATTTATGTTTACCGAGTATAAATAGAGTGGTAGGTTTACTATAAGAAAATTGTATCAGTGAGGCGAGAGAAAACTTAAAGAAATCCGAGGATTTCTTCCAACATATGTACCGATATGATTTTGGCTTGATTCTAGTATTTGGATCATTAATTACTTTGTAGATGTTCAACAGGTGAGTAGTGTTCAGAGCACGCGAACATTCAAATCCGTTAATGGGTCAAAGTACATTATGTTTGATTTTTGTTAATTCTCTGCAAATTTACTTTTGATAAATTGTGATTAAACTTGTACTATATAATCTGCTTGGTTTGTTTTGCAAAATTTTAATGCTAAGTAGAGATTGTTTTAGCTGTATTAAAATTCATTTATTCAAATTTTTGTGAATACTTCAACTATTTCACCTTGCTTGATTTTGAAATACACGGTATATTGTATGTCCTTTTCTACGTGAATTTATTTGCAAACATGAGTTCCGTACAAAAGCTTTAGGTAGAATTGTGGAGTGGTAGTGGGACTTTAGTCTCTGACGCTAGAAAATAAGAGCTCTATTGTTTGTAACGGAAATGTGCTGTTGCCTTGCATGATTCTTGGGCAGCAGTGGTGAGTGCTTACAGGATAAATAAGTTAGATGTGATTGACTGGAGCTCAAGCTTCCTTCATCAATCTGATAGCATGATTAGAAAGTTTGGAAAGACAACTTCAGCTGAGACATTGTGGAAGAAATTAGAAACCCTCTACTTATCTAATACTATGCCTAATAAGTGCTATCTGTTTAGATAATTCTACGATTTTAGGTTTGATATGTAACACCAGAAAACTTTAGGCAAAAAAGAATTGTTTTATATGCTTTATTTTTATATTTTGTAAAATTTAGGACTAAAATGAAATGAATTCTAAATTTCTATTTTATCTGTGCGAGAATGAGATTTCAAATATCAATATTAGACTCTTTATGTAGGTCTTAATTAATTGGAAGTCTTCGACTCAGAAAAAAAGTTAATTCGAATAAATTAGACTCGAAATATTAAAATTTAAACGAGTTGTCATTTATTAGTTTTATTTTTACTAAAATAGGATTTGGATATGAAGCAATCACGTGTATCTAGGACTAAATATAGGAAACCTTTTAGTTGATCAGTTTTATAGCTCCTTTCACTATTATAGTATTATCCATTTTGATTTGAATAATAAGTTGACTAGGAAAAACCATGGGATAGTACACCTCCATAAAATAAAACCTCATTCTATACAAATGCAGTAGCAATACGTGGCATTGTCTCGTAGTTGCATAGAAATACAATTGTTATGCTAGGTACTTGACCTTATATAAACTCCAACTCAATGAAACCAATTAACATTGGTCCACGTGCGTGTCGTCCTATGTAGCCAATAAAACAAATTGATAAGTTCGGACGATACAAATATAAAACAGGCTTACTTAGAGTCCATCCCACAGCCTCTTGGTCAAGAGACACTCAGAATGATTGAAATAAAAGGACAATCATTGGGAACCACTTCATTTGAAGAGCTTCACAACTGGGTCAAGAGAATCTTGAAAAAACTTTGCAATCAAAGAGAGTTTTTAAAGGATATCAGTACAACAGGACGGAAGCTTGAAAAGGCGTGTGATCAGCCAGATTTGAAGATTAAGTGCCGACATGATAACAAGAGTTGTGATCGTCCAGGAAAGAAGAAATTCCACAGGAGGAGGTTCAAATTTTGGAACAAAAGATTTTCCAAATCTTTTCCTCGAAGAAGAAGATATTTTAAAAGGAAATTCACAAAGAAAAAAGGAGACAGGTGTTTTATCTGTGGAAAGAAGGGCCATTTTGCAAAAAATTGTACCAAGAAAAAAAAGGAGAACATTTTACACCAAATCTATGCAACAACGAAAGTGGAAGAAGAAGCAGACCTTGAATCGGTATTCTCTGAAGAAGATGAGCAGTCCCCTGAAACTGTCTTCGTACTTAAATTTGACTCCGATGATGAGAGCACTAATGGCTATGACAGTATAGAGGAATGCTATGGAATGCAAGCAATCAATCTTAGTCTTCCAGTTCCGATGATTGAAGTCAAAATATTTCCAGGAAAATATGAAAGACCAATCACAGTTGCAGGTCTGTTTGACACTGGAGCAGCTTGTTCAATCTTAAATCCAGCCATTCTCCCCAAAGACATGTGGAAAACACATCAGCGAATATTCCAGGCAGCCAATAATGAGTATTTTTCAACATAGTTGATAAGTAAGCCAGTGACACTTCAGTTCTTTCCTAAATGTAATGTCTCACACAAGTTACTTGGATCATCTTTACCAAGGAAGGATATTGTAATTGGTTTTGACATCATTCGACAATTGTGGGCAAAACGTGTTATTCCTCTTCCAAATGGCCTTAGATACAAGTCCTACTTTCTGCCATACATACAGCCAACCACATATTTTTCCATAACCAGCCTTGATGATATAACAAGCCTATTAATCCGAGAATGTTGTGCAGATTCTCACATAGATTTTCTCACCAAATACACTCACCCTCTATGGAAAAATCCAGATTTTTTCATAGCCCTACCTTTCAAAAGAAATAAAGACGTTAACCCTATTAAAGCCAGCCATATTGGAATGAGCCCTAAACACCTCCAATTAGCAACCAAAGAGTTAAACCAATTGCAAGATGAAGGTCTTATTGAACCTACTACTTCTCAATGGGCATGCCAAGCATTTTATGTCAACAAAAGAAGTGAAC